AGAGAGAGAGAGAGAGAGAGAGAGAAAGAGAACACAATTGTTATAAGAGTCGATTTGTAAAAAATGTTTATATATAAATAAATTCTAAAGAAAGTGAACTTACCTTGTAGCTAGGCCGGTTATTATGATGCGTGCAGGCCTTGCATGGTTATCCATTATCTTACGTGGCATCTCCCCAATTTTCTTGTATAGAAATCATGAAACCAAGTGGTTGGTAAGGGTTTAGTGAGTATGTTAGCAATTTGCTTCATACCAAAAATGTGTTTGACAATGAAGACACCGACAACCACCTTCTCAAAACAAAGTGAATATAAAGCTCTATGTGTTTTGTTTTTGCAAGCTGAATTGGGTTCACTGGCAAGTATGCAACTGAGCGATTATCACACTAAATAGTTGGTTTTACAGGAAGTGCATAGCTCTAATTCACGTAGAAGCATGCAAATCCAAAGAAGCTCAAATGTCGTAGAAGCTAATAAACATCTGTATTCAAACTCTGAGTTGGACCTCGCAATGGTGATTTTCTTGTGAGACTTCACAATGGTGGTTCACAACATGCCCAATTGGTGTCTAAGTATGCCTAAACTAATACAAAAGAAGGCCGAAGAAAATCCCATGTGTAATAGTGCCTTTAATTTAGCATAGGGTGTGTTCACTAACAAACCAATGAAGAGAAGTGGTAGACTTCGTGAATTGGAAAACCTTGTGAACAATGAAGGATATGTTGAGTCTTGTCAATGTGACATATTGTAGAGCATCAACAACATTTTGATACTAGGAAGGATCGGCTAGCAGTTCACCAGAATGAGAATCAAGTCGGGTAGAAGTAGCCATGGTCATCTTACTAGGTTTAGCATCTTGGATTTGAGTCTGTACAAGGAGGTCTTGGATATATTTATGTTGGCAGAGATGCGTCCCTTGAGAGTCACACTAAAGATCAACACCCAAGAAATAGTGGGCCAACCTAAGGTCCCGTAAGGCGAATTGAGAGGATATGGCTTTGGTCATGTGCATAGAGGACAACCAATAGTTAGAGGGATTGATTTGTTACAAAGTGGAAAGGGCTAGACCTAAAGGAAAATGGGTACTACTATGAAATGATTTAAGCACTAAAAAATTAACATCGGATGTGACTTTAAAGAGAAGGGAGGACATGGCTTTAAATAAAAATGATTTCAGCACCAACCCCATATAGTTGGGAAAACGCATGGATGATGTTGATGATTACTTGTATGTTTAATTTTGGCCTTTTTACGTACTAGTAAGTAGGCACATATTTTGCACATGGTAATTTTAGATGATAATAGTGATAGTAATAATGAATCTAGAAATTTCTATAAATATGTATTTTTTATTAATTAGATGCATATTATAAATCCAAATTTGATTACATAAACACCTCATTTAAATATATGATAATCAGATCAAGTTATGAAGTTTCAAGTATCATTGATAGGTCTGCTTGCTTGGTTAGATTATTCTTTTTATAATAATTTATCTTTTTGGTGTTTTTTCCTATTCATTTATCAAAAAGATGTAGGATTTAAATAGAGTGAATTGAATGAAGTGAAAAGTAATAGTTCAATTTACAATTTAAACCTCACAATTAAATAGAGGTTAAATTCAAAAATTAGTATTTTAATCAAAAGAAAATTCCACAATCTTATTTATATTTTTAATAGTAGTGTAAATATAGAATTGTAGACGTGTACATATTCAAATTTTCTATGTTTTTTTTATATTTTTGTATAAAAATAATTCTAATATATCACATACTTTTTATTTAATATGATAATTAATATTATACATATGTCTAAAGTTTTTTTTGTAACATTTATGTATTTTTTATATAATATAGATATGATTGACAGTATAAACTACAAAGTGCAAAGGAATGTTTAATATATTAAATTAGCATTTCCATTCTAATTTGCAAAAGAATATGGTACACAATAATCCTTGCATTTATAACATAACCACTAGGAGATATGTATGCCTATATGTACGTATGTAGGCCTACAGACAGCTTGTTGGTTCAATTAAACCAGAAGTTGTTCCGTCAGCGTTGGTACATGATGATTCTGCCGGTTGGTTGTCATAGGTGAGATTTACATCTTCCAGTATGATTCCAGTGCATGGATCCTTAGAGCTACAGTCAAACTTCACCGCCACTTCTGTTGCTGACGTTCCGTGTATGTTTTTGTACGTCACTTGACTAATTTTTACGCCTGAAACCTGTTCAAACCCATTTTATATTGATCAATATAAATAATGGTGGCCCAAGCCCAATTCTTGGGCTCCAGTTGACGTGGGTTACACTTCAAAGCCCATTTCTGAGAACCAGATGTTGCGGCCGGGTTGAGAAAGGAAGTTTCTTACCTGACCAGGGCAATCTTCACTATGAGGGCAGTAGTTTTGGTCAATTATGATGGGATTTTGGGATTTCTGCATGGTGGCATCTTCAAAAAGGACCCCTTTTACAAATCCATTGCTTGGTCTGGCCCATGATTTGATTCTCAGCCCATTCTCTGTGCCGGTAAATGTAACGGTTTTAACCGTCACATTCTGTACTCCTGCTTCATTTACATCCTTGCCAAGGCTTCCAATGCTGCAGCAAGCACACAAATTACTTTACTTACTTGATGAGCTCCAACTCCATGTCTTAACTTCCAACAAACAAATAAATGATCCACTCCCTCTACGTACAGAGTGCATATAATTATCTCTCTCTCTCTCTCTCTCTC